ATATATATCTCTATATCTATATATATATAGAAACACATTGAAAAGCTGAGACTTTGTTCCAGATTAAAGGAACGTGTAAACTAAATCCTGGATAAGATCTTAGACTGCAAAAAAGTGCTATCGTTATATTATTGGGACGACTGGTCACATTTGACTATGCAATATCAATTAGATAGTGATATTCCATCAATTCTAAATTCCTCATCTTTTATAATTTTACTGTGGGTATATAGGAAATATCTTTGTCCTTAGAGAATATATACTGAGGTTTTGAAGGATAAAGTGGAATGGTATTTGCAACTTACTCTCAAGTGGTTAAGAGAAAATGAATGTTCTATATGGGCAAGAAAATGATCTAGCGGATGCTGCAAAATGTTCTCATTGGTGAATCTGTAAATTGCTTGTAAGAATTCTTTGTGCATTTCTTGCAAGATTTCCCAAATTTTGATGATAATTTAAAGCAAAAGTTAAAACTGAATAGATACAGTAAAAATAATAAGCTGGAGAGAAATCGAGAAAGCAGAGAACACAATCTCTCTTTTTGAGCATAAAGGTCAAGAACTTGTTTTAGACTCACACAGAGGTGGGGTTAAATTTATATGAAACTACAACCGGCCTCTAAGATCCGGCTCTCATTTGCTATTTAATCATTAACATACTGAGAATTTATTGAACTCTTTCAGGTTTTAGGGCTTGGGCTAGGAGAGTTCTCATATGCCACCTCGAAAATCCATAACAGCGGTGGTCATTTCATTGGTCCAGCCCTTCTATTTCTCAGTGGAGGACTCTAAGGGCCAAAGGTTTCACATGCTTCCCCAAGAAGCAAAAGGGAGAGTGCCCGCCGAATGCATAAAATATCGACTCTAGGAGTATCTACAGAAATAGCTACCTTTTCCCTGTGGGCTTCAGTCCGCTAAAATGAAGACCATCTAATGAATGATCTAAGACCCACGTTTGAAGCAATGATGTTTACATTAGAATATTTGATAATCGCGAGAACAATCATCATCTCTTTTTCCTATTAATTCCTGGGCTGGATCAGTAGATTGAGCGCTTGCGTGTTAAACCAGGTGCTGATAACGCATAGCTTTAAATCTGATCCCGTTTTTGACCTTCTGTGCTTTCGAGGGACAGAGAAAACAAACCGTATCTAGTAGTGTCATAAGTACCATGCAGGTGAAAGTGAACGGGCTTGTGAAGACACATCGGAGGGACACCTCACTGAGGTTTGGGGGACAGGCGAAGCTCCGACACGTCTCAGGTGGAGGTCTTGGGTTCTAGGCTCCAGGGAAGAAGGATGGCCTCCAGAAACAGTACGTTCTCAGCACGGAGTTGAGAATTTCTCTGTCGCTCTGCGATCCTCTGATCACAAACACGACGACCTAAAATCGAAAGGGCTTTCAACGTGAGAGGCGACAAGCGTCTCTTTGAGATCACAACGTAAATAAATAAAATAGCTGTCCGGGAAGCATTGATTCAGGCAGAAGCCCCCAAAGTGTCACCAATAAATAGGAGATAAGAGGCAAAGTGATCATGACATCAGCCGAGGGAAGGCTCTTCTCTTGGCCCAGATAAGCGAACAGAGTGACAGTAATCCTAAACGATGCTTTTAATTTCCAGTCTGGAAGTCATGTCGGGCTCCTAGTCATAATATCTGCTTTCTTGTTATCTTTGCAGACAGTTGTCTGAGACACGATGTTGCTTCGGGCCCCGTCTAAGGTTATTTTGCTGGGTTTTAACGTTCCAGAGGGTTGAGGCATCGGACCTGTGAAGAGGTTCCTTTGGAATGGCAACTCCGACTCTTATAAAGTGGCTCTGTGTATGTTATTTTTTTACTACACAAAACGGTTGCATCTGAAAGAAATCCAGGTATCTCTGCATAACTTTTCCTGCCAACAGCTCCTCGTCCCAGAATCTGCAGAATCGGCAGATATTCCTACTGGAGAAGCGGAGGCGAATGCAAACATTTGGGCGGGGAGAGAGAAGGCCTGAGGCCATCCCCTGCCCCAGGACACCCGTGATGGGCCATTGAATGGCACTTGCAGATGGAGTCCCATCTCTGCTCTGAACAGAATGTTCAGGCATCTGAGAGAACAAAGTATCAAACTCTCCCCGACCTCATTAACCTTAAGAACATTCTAGCCTCTCTCATTCATACACACAGTCCCACAGATTTTCGAGATCCAAAAAGGTATCTTGCTATTGTTTTAGCAAATTTACAGAGATCCCACCTGCAGCACTGCATAGCAGCTACGAGAACCTTCCAGAAACCAAGGGCCCCTGCTTTCTCACCAGGATTTCCCCACAATCCCCTGCGGCCTGCCATAGCCACACCCCGAGCCGCCATCCCATCCTGCACCTCCTCAGCCTGCTCTCCAAGAGTCCCTGATGTGGTTAGTGGGAACTGTGTCCCCTTGTTACGTCCCGTTCCTCATCCTGGCCGCTGTTTTCCCACTGCTCACCGCTCCCAGCCTTGTAACTCTTTTGGCTGTGCCACCTTAGGGCGGGGGTGACGTGGATAATGTCACACTGCTTTTTTACCTTTTCCATGAATCCAAACTCATATATATATAGCGAAGTCAGAGCTGCAGCTGGGCTGAGCGAAGGGGCCTCTTCCCAGCGTCCCGCACAGCTGGGGGAGCGGGGCACTCACCTACACGCTCTTTCCCCGCGGGGAGAAATCGCTGGCCTGAAAAGGACTCTCTTGGCATTTGGCTGTGCCACCTTAGGGCGGGGTTGACGTGGATAATGTCACACTGGTTTTTTACCTTTTCCATGAATCCAAACTCATATGTATATTTTTTTGCTCCAGTGGATTGCTGGAACTTTCTTGATGGGCTCTTGGACTCCCGCAAAGGATCTCTTGGGTGGGGGAGGAGGGGGGTAGTGATTGTCTAACTTAAGGGTCTCCAGGAAGCCAGGTCACTGTAGGATGCCTCCCCTCTTCCCGGACCCAGGTCTGTGTGCCTATTAGCCAACCCATGGGTGGGTGAGACTCCTTCTGGGCCCCTTGGCGTGTGGCGCTTCTGATGGAACCACAGTGAAACGGGGCTGCGGCTGAACCCTCAGGAGTCCGGGGCTGTTTCTAGGTCTGTGGACGAGACCATGGTGGGGGAGCCAGCGCATGGGTGCGAGCCTGCCTTCTCAGAAGGGCCCCCCGCAACCTTGGACTGGGACTTGGGCTCCTTGGACATAGCTCATAGAACGAACGTCAGCGAAAAGAGCAACTTTCTGGGCTCCGAAAGCCCAAACCAAGGGAACGGCAGAGGGACGATGGCAGATGACCCGAGGAGGGGCCGCCCTCTGAATGCTCTCCCATGGCAGGTGAGCTTCGCCCCGCGGGAGGGAACACGCCTGAAGCATCTTCTTGACTTCCCAACAGTTTAGGTGACGCAGAGGAAAGTCTGCCCTCCGCTCTGCGACCCTCCGGAAGAATCATGACTCTGATTGAGTCACGAGTCCATTGCCCCAGGGGATAGGTCACCGTGCCAAACCCTGAGGGTCTCTGGGTCACCACTAATGCTGAACGTACTTATGCTTCCGGCCCAGCAACTGTCACCTTCATATGAGCTCTCACCGAAGGCGCGTAACAGAAGGCTTGTCACGGCGCCGCCCGTGATGGTCCCTGACGAAGGCCACCTTAACGTTTATCAGGAGAGGCATGGATGAGTGAACCGTGGTGCAGTCACACAGCGGGAAATCAAACTTCGATGAAAATGAAGTGTTGTCATCTACACAAACGACGTGGCCGAACCTCATGCACACGGTAGCGAGTGGATGAAGCCAGACACGAAGGTGGCATACGATTTGTAGGAAATGGAGCAAACAAATCTGTGCTATGTGAGAAATCAGGCTGGCGATTGCCCTTGGCGGTCGGGCCTGGGAATGGGCACGAAGCTGGGCTAGAAATGATCTCTTTCCAAATATGACTGTCAGTGACAAGGAGCGTTTACGCTGTAAATTTTCACCCAGCTCTACGCTCATGACAAACGTA